TTTTCAGAGCGATCCGAGAATCGGCTATCTTTTCAAAGCGACCTGAGAACCGGCTATCTTTTACGAGCGATCCGAGAACCGGCTATCTTTTCAGAGCGGTCCGAGAACCGGCTAACTGACTTTTTTTAAGAAATTGAGTTTCTTACATTAAAATAATCCGCATCACCTGTTCTATCGATTAATGTAAGAAACTCAATTTCTTGAAAAAAAGTCAGTTAGCCGGTTCTCGGACCGCTTGAAAAGATAGCCGGTTCTCGGATCGCTCGTAAAAGATAGCCGGTTCTCAGGTCACTTTGAAAAGATAGCCGATTCTCGGATCGCTCTGAAAAGGTAGCCGGTTCTCAAATCGCTCTGAAAAGATAGCCGGGTCTTCTGTTCAGGTGTCGAGTAAACGATATGATTTCATAAACACGACGAACCCAAATATTATCGTGGGGCAGCGCTCTAGCTTCACTTAAAAGCAATACATCGTGTGTTGCTGCCAGCACTCGCCCGCGCCTGGCGTGCGTGTTTTGTTGTTTGGTGGTTGGCACCGCATGGGCCGTTGTGTACAGTCGCGCGAGACAGAATTTTCCGTTTGAGTTTTCATTCGATCCGTAAGTTGTTTGTAGTCGGCCGCGTGAACAGTCGCGCTGGACAGGATTTGTCACACGAGTTTCCGTTCCGTCGGTGTATTGGCGGTATGCAGTTGAAACCGCGTTAGTCCGCGTGTACAGTCGCGCGAGACAGAATTTATCTGAGTTTTCATTCGGGCTGCGTAGCGGTGCGCTCATCTCGCGGGTGGTCTCAGCCCTTCTGGGCCGCCGGCTGGGCAGCGTCCTAGGGCCAAGGGCAGCCTGGCAGCCAAGGGCCGCAAGGGCCAGGAGGCCGTTACGGACGTAATCACAGCGCGGAATATATGAGCTCGTGGTTTATAGCCCTCTGGATCGCGTGGACCGCGGACCGCGGCGTCTCGCCTCAGATTCCGTCTGGCAGTCTGGCGCGTCCAAGTCGGCGAGGGGGGAGGGCCGAGGAGCGCGCTGCGGACTGCGGGACCAGAAGAGGGAATTAGGTCCAAATTAGCGGTTTTTTGCTCCGCGGGGGTGGTACGCCATGGCGGCCCCGGGGCTCCCCTTCCATTCGAATGAAGGCCCGCTGCGGAAGGGTTGCATTTACTGTCACCTTTCTGACCTTACTTGGCGTGCGGAATGCGAAAAAAGAACAACAAGGAGGGAGGGATGAAGAAACAAAGGGAGAGCCCAATGAGAGGGTCACACCGAGTTTATTAAAAAGCTCGGAATGTGGCTCGTTTTTTGTTTCCGTTTACTTCGGAAAGGAGCGCTTTCCCCTCGGCGCGGCCAAATTGGGCGGAAGGAGGGAAGGGAGCCAGCTTTGTTGGTTCAAGGTGGGCAACGCGCAGCAACGCGCAGCAACGCGCAGCACCAACGCGACAATTGTTTCACCTGCTGGTTCATTGTCGCCGCCCCCGCGGCCGGGGCGGACGGGGTGGCGGGGTGCGGTGGCGGGGTGCGGTGGCGCGCCGAGGCGACATCTCCAATGTCAGACATGTACTCCCCCCGATGAAGTCGATTAATCAAGTGCGGCACGGAAGGCAAAGGCGCCTTGTGCAGTTGGCGGCACCGCCCCGCCCCGCCCCGCAAGGCGCGAGCCTTGCCGTCGTCACGACATAACGCGTCGCGGCGGAAACGGATGATATCTCCCTGCGTTTGTCATCATGGGAAGTCGATTTGGCTTTCTTTTCACGCTATTCTTATTTTTTTTGCGCGCCCGCCGACGATGACGATGTTTTGTATGTGCCTAGGCAGTCCTGCCTTTAGTGTGTGTGAGTGTGGTGTGTGTGTGTGTGTGTGTGTGTGTGTGTGTGTGAATGACCGCCAGCGCGCTTGTGTGTGTGAAGGCGACGGTGTGAGGGCTGTTTCCCAGTTGTGACGCCTTTTCCTCACCCCTTTCACGTGCCTCACCGCTGTGCGAGTGTGTGTGTGTGTGATGTCCGTGTGGGCGATGTGTCGGCCCCTCCCCCTGCTCGGCGTTCCACTCACGTTTCAAGTGGGTAGGTAGGCAACACGCTGGGCAGAAAGGGTGGCCTACTACAGCCCTTCATGTTGTCGTTGTCATCTCTTCTTCTTCTTCTTCTTCTTCTTCTTCTTCTTCTTCTTCTTCTTCTTCTTCTTCTTCTTCTTCTTCTTCTTCTTGATTCCGCTCCTCCAGATGACGCACCATGACGTATAGGGCGAGACACTCCCCTTGCTTCGCTTGCTTCGTGGGGCAAAGGGTTGGCGTCCCTCTGTTAGCATCTGCGCGTGTGTGCATGTGTGAGACAGTGAATGTGTGTGTCTGTGTGTGTTTACCTGTCCACGCTTATGATGGAGGGATGGGTATGGCTTTGGCTTTCCGTAGGGCGGGCTGTCTCGCAGGGAGACAGACAGACAAACAGACGGACGGCCGGGCGAGTCACATGTCCGTGACAGACAGACAGACAGGCACGCGAACGCCCAACTAAGTCAATTGATCCGCCTTCGGCCGCTTCGGCCGCCTTGCATGCCTTCCGGAGAGGGAAGTGTGCAGCCAGCATTGAGTGCGAGGATCGTATTGCCTCCGTCTAAGTGGATTGGTCGGGTCGCGTGGGACTGCGTACTGCGTGGGGCGCGGTGGGACGCGGTCACCTGTCTCATTCAGATGCACTTCCCTGTATCGATAGGGGGTGGCATAGTGAGGGGCAAAACTTCTCATGGAAAACGAGTTTTAATTTGAGGAAAGAACAAACGACATTGTGGCGACACTACAAGTTAGTTGGCTTCCCCTGCCAAGAAAGCTACTTGCTACGCCTAGTGAATTTGATTTTCCCTAACGGCCAAACCGAGTATCTCAGAGAGATTTCGTTTAGAACTTCTTATCAACACGAGAAATCATTGTCAGACACGTGACAAACGAAGCCTATTCCGAGACCACTGCTTTGCCATTCCTAACCTCAAATTCTTTATTCCCTTGTCCGTGGTGGCACAGTCACCGACTGAACTCCCCTCCCCAAGGGCTTAGATGAACTGGCCAGACACAAAACCGTCTCGCACCGTTTTCTTTTTCCATGATCACCGTTTCTGTGCCGCTAATCTCAAAAGATCTGTGGGGCGCCGGCGCTGTCGACAGGGAAGAAGAGGAGCCGGAGAGAGAGACGGAGAGAGTCGCTGTCCGCGGAAAAAGAACACGGAGATAGCCCGGCCCGGCGACCCACCCCACGAGAGGACCGTAACTGCGCGGGACGTCCTCGCTGTTAAGGCCCTTTCCACCGGACAGGTCGCAAGGACTCTGATGCGGTGGGAGAGGCGTACGTGACGGGATCAGATGACAGACTAGGTGATAGATGGATGGGGCGACCGCCAGCGCGCCAGCGCGCCAGCCGGCCCATTCCGAGGCGTGCTTTCGTCGCTGTCGCCCTCGCGGAGCGTCCCGCGCGGGTGCGAGGGAGACCTGGAGTGACGTTTCGGAACCAGTCTGCAGCGGCGCGCTCGAGACCCACCCTTCATATTTCTGATGCAGACATTCGCGACGGAAGGACCGGGAAAACAAAACGGCGGGAAAAAAATAATAATGAAGGGAAGAGTCACATGATCTGAATGAAGCAGCCTTGACTTCCTCAAGTGCATCTCGGTGTTGCCGGACACAGATCGGATTTCGGTCCGGCATTTCTACGTCATCGCGTCATAACAATCCACTCATTCGAGGTCCCGTCCGTCCCCTGCGGCAGGTTAGGTTAGGTTATTTCCGTTGTTTTTGTTTTGCACCGGGTTCAGTGACTACGGTGCGTTTACGGCCGGAATCAGCCACGCGGCCGCAGGTGAAATGGGGCAGGACATTTTTGCCCCATTTTCCAAGCTTATCACTGCCACAAACTTTGGAAACAGCACGTCGTGAAACGGCCATTTTGCTCTTTCCCTGTTTGCGCGCGAAACTTAGCAAACTGCATACGCGCTGGCGGGCCTCCTAGGGTGGTACTTTGGAAGGCCGAGATGTGAGTGATATTAAGGCCGCGCTTACGGCGGCGCGCCGGCACAGGTGCACTGACGGACAGAGGTGTGTTCGTCACGGCGCGGTCACCGCCGTCGGCCGGGCCGGCTGCGGCCGAAGCGACCACCACCAGGCCAATGGCTAGGCCCGCGCGCTGGACCGGGGGCGCGTTCGAAAGAGCGCACCTCCCCCTAAAGGCGCCGCAAGGCGTCCCGGAGGTCAAGGCGACCCCAGGTGGCGCGGGCCGGCCACATAAGTGTGCCGTGCCGTTCGCGAAAGAAGCCATCCGTTACCTTGATGCGGAAACTGCCTCTCGTGGCGTAATGGTGGCCAGAAGAGGAACAAGAGGAAGAAGAAGTTTGAGTTATCACTGCGCGTTCAATGTGGCAGTGTATAGTGCTGCAAATGGGTCCCGTTCGGCAGTTGGCGGTGTAGGGGTAAAGGTGATAAGGAGACAGACGCGCGTGCACACACACACTCACACACACACACTGCGGCACGCACGCGGGGCGCGCAATGACCCGTGAAGGGGTGGCAATAAGTCTGGCGGTAGAAAGGCGTGGTGGGAAACGCGACTTGTTTATCCATTACTGTCACTGCGGCCTCTGGGCCCTGGCAGGCCGGCTGCGTAGCACTGCATAGCACTACCAAGGTGTACAGTACTATGACAAACAGCCCCGGGGACGTCCCAGCCTATTGGGATGGGATCGCGAGGAACCGCGGAAGCAGCTTCCTGCTGTGGGCTGAGTACCGAACAGTGCGCTTTCGTCGCTCTGAGTCTCTCTCTCTCCGCCGACTTCCTGTAAGGTGCGAGAGGGACAGGCACTGTTCGGATCAAACGGTCCGCAGTGTGGCGGTGGGTTCTGCTCTGCCGCCTTCATCTCCTATTTTGGTGTGCGCGGGGAGGGGAAAAAAGCTCGCAATAAAACCAGCGACCGCCAACTCGACTTCGGAACTTCCACCGCCGCCGATTCGGGATGGATTTGAATCAAAACGAATGCCGTTTGAATTTTTTTAATGTCACCGTTCTAGCAGGGCGCGCTCCGCCAGGACGGCAGTCTCGGGCAGAGACTGATTTTCCTGATTTTCGGCGTTTGAGTCGGTGTGTCCGTTCAGCCGGACGGCGCTGGCGTGGAGGTGGCGGTGGCGGCCGTGGCGGCCGTGGCGGGGTTGAGGCTGGCGTCGACGCACTGCCTCACGGCGGTGATGATGGCGTTGGCCGCGGCGCCGCGGGTGTTGATGGCGTCACCGACGCAGGCCGCGCTCCGCAGCGGGATCTGCACCACCAGCTGGCCGGTGACCTGCGCCGCCAGGCGGGTGGCGTCGCCCACCAGGCTCAGGCTCTCCGCCGTCAGCCGGGGGAGCTTGTTGATGACGCACACGGCCGCCAGCCAGCCGGACGGGCGGCAGTCGGCGATCGCCTGGAACACGCGCCGGTGCAGTCTCTCTCTCTCTCTCTCTCTCTCTCTCTCTCTCTCTCTCTCTCTCTCTCTCTCTCTCTCTCTCTCTCTCTCTCTCTCTCTCTCTCTCTCTCTCTCTCTCTCGAAGCACAGTGGGCCAGGACTCAGGTGGAGGCAGCCAAAACTCTAGACGCGTTTTGAGCTCCGGAGTCCCTAAATGGGGCTCGAACCGACCGTATGACATGACCCCACCGCTGGATTCCTCGTTCGGAGAGGAATCCATTGGTGGGGTCACACGTTTGGATCGGGTCTAGAGTATCGGCCGCCTCCTCCGGTCCTCCAGCCCACTGTGGAAGGGGTGCGACAGAGACAGGGCTTACCTGTTGTGCGTCGTTGGCCAGCGTCTGCGCCTCGACGCGGAGCGTCTGCAGCTGGGCGAGGGTGTTGGTGGCGCTGGCCGACGCGTTCTGCACGCAGAGCTGCACGTCCTGCCCCAGGGCGTCCGCCACGCTCTGCAGGGTGGGCTGCTGCGCGCGGCACTGCTGCACCGCTGCGTTCACGGCGTCGTTGCGGTTGATCACGTTCTGGAGACACGCGCGCAAAGTTCGGACTTCGATGTTCCTCTTGGCGTAACGCATGGAGGACGTGGGCCAGAAGACCGGTGACTGCGGCCGAAACTCTAGACGCGTTTTTAGATCCAGAGTCACGCCAATTGATTGCTCTCCGAACGAGGGATCCATTGGTGGGGTCACTCGTTCGGTTTAGCGACTCTGGAGCCCAAAACGCGTCCGGAATTTTGACCGCCTCCACCGGTCCTCTGGCCCACTGTGCTATATGCACGAGCTCTGGGCTCACCTGCAGGGCCTGGTTCCAGCTGTTGACGGCGGCCTGGGTGGCGGCCTGCGCGGCCTGCGTGGCGGCGGTCACGGCGTTCAGCACGGCGGAGTAGGTGGCCTGCAGCACGGCGTCCACGCGGTTCAGGACGTCCTGCACGGCCCTCAGGATGCCGTCCAGGGACTGCGTCGTCGCATCCAAGCGGTGCTGCGCCACCAGCTTGTCGCCCAGGCCGGCGCCGAGCACCTGCAGGTCCAGGCCCAGGTCCAGGTCCTTGTCGGCCAGGTCGACCTGGTCGCCGCCGTCAGACCCGATGATCCTTGCCTCGGCACAGATCGCCTGCGGGAATGGAAGCAGCACTCCGTCAGAGTTCAACACGTTGCTGCCCTCCCGCCTTCTCGACGAAACTGTCACTCTGCTGACTCACCAGGAGGGCCACGGCGGCCGCCAGCGCCTTGAAGTTCATCTTTGCGGGGTTTTGCGGTGGGAATGCGTGGCGGTGCTGGCGGACGCGGCCTTTTATTGTTGGGGGAAACCGCGTCGCACGGCGGGATTTCGAACAGACCAGATAAGTGTTACCAACACGGAGGAAGCGCGATAAGAGCAGGGCCAAAGTACGTAAAGTAAGTACACGGCGTGACACAGTGACCTTGACATCCGCATTAGGACGAGACGCGTAATCCTTCACAAGAAAATAAGTCGTTTACCTCACTCGTGGAAACCCACCGTTTCCTGTTAGTGTTTTCGTCTTTGCACAGCGATTGGCACAGTCAGAAGACCGGTGGAGGCGGCCATAATTCCAGACGCGTTTTGAGCTCCAGAGTCGCTAAATGGGGCTAAAATCGAAAGTGTGACCCTCATCAAATGGATTCCTCATTCGAAGTATAATCCATTGGTGGGGTCACTCGTTCGGTTCGAGTCCCATTTAGCGACTCTGGAGTGTTCAACACGCGTTCAGAATTTTGGACGCCTCTACTGGTGTTCTGGCCCACTGTGGGCGGGTCAGGAGTGGGTCTCTTTACCCAGAAGCGTCTGCTGTCGAAACTGAGAGTGGCGTTTTCTTCTGCGAGTGAGTTGCGTACCTCCGCGGGAAACTGGATCCATGATCCGGACGGAGGAGAGGAGAGGAAGGGGAGTGGGAGGTCGACGCAGCCAATCCACGACACTGGTGACACTCCGCTAAGAAAGGTACGCACTGTCCGAAGCCCGTGAAGGGGCTTAGGTCGTGTTTCTGAAACGAACGAAAGACACACCGCTACTACCTGCGTCCTGGCACGGCCACGACGGCAGCTTGGGGTATCGCAGAGGAAGTATCATGTTTGACCGCATCAGCGAACAGTGTTATGAATTGACTGGCCTGCGGAGACACACAGGATGAGGCAGTCAATGAGAGAGAGAGAGAGAGAGAGAGAGAGAGAGAGAGAGAGAGAGAGAGAGAGAGAGAGAGAGAGAGAGAGAGAGAGTGGCATGGCATATCCACCCCAAAGGCAGGATGTGTGGATACCGTTGCTCCCGTCTCGCCAAAGTTGGCACGTCCATTGGGGCCTCAAGTTGAGTGCACCTGACGTGCCGAGGCGCGATGAGCGTGCGAGCCGCGGTTCGATTCCCGACACTTCCAGATAAAAGCGCCCCCACCCCGTTGCGCACTCTGCTGCTGGCGCTTGGCATTGACCGCGCGGCCCATTGTCTCCCGATAGCGTTCATCAAGTCGCACATTCGGTACACAGTGTACACTCGACTGCATTCGGCGGTCGCTCGGGTGTTTCCGGCAACAGCCGAACGCCCGCCCGCTCGTCCCGCGTGGGTGCGAGAGAGACGCGGATAGGCGTCACGACCGAAGGGGTTGAAGAGGGAGCTATATTGACAGCTGAACAAAGCGACGGCGAAAAAAATAAATGGCCGATGCTTTTGTGCGGGCGACCCCGTGCGCGCGGAATCGGTGTGTCATTTCATGCGGTCGGGAGTATCTTCCTCCGATATTTTACGAACGTTTCACTCGACTGGCGAGGTGACCTCCGCGCCCTGAGGTCCCTCCCGACTTAATTGATAAAAGCCATTCGGGGAATGAAAGCACACCAGCCTGTGTAACGAGGAGAGGCTTATCTGTGTATCTCCACGTGCTTTGCCTGCGCGAGCCAGCGCCCGCCAGCGCCGCACGGGGAGGTGGTAAGACACAAGTAAAGGTTTTCGCTTATTCGCTGGCGTTCCGAGTCTGGAACAGTCCGCCGACTCACACGGACGGATGGTGTCGACGAGCCCATCCCCGCGGCTCGTTCTTCAAATTCAGTTCATTTTTCACTCTCAAATTTTTAATATTTTTTGTGATTTTTCTTCCTCATTCTTTAGTGTTTACAATTTGTTTATTGCTTTCTCTTTTCTGTTTTGAAAATTTGAAAGTGCGTCTTTTATGTCGTTTGGTCGCACCCAGCGGACAGAGCCGCGGCCGCGCCTCGCCAAAAGCGCGCAGATGTCACGTGTCCCTTCCTTCAGCCTTCAGCCCCGCATCTGCTTCGATTCGGCAGAATTTATGAAGGCCGCTATCTTTTCCTCGTTTTGCGTTGAGCCGCGGCCGACACATGCTCTTTGTAGAGTCGGACCCGCCCCGCGCGCCGCGCGCGCCCCGCCGAGATTGAGATGTCATCTTTATGGAGGCAGAGCAAAGGGGTGAGCGTTCTGGGGGTCGGGCTGCTAGAGTCGTTTTCGTCACTCTGTCTCTCTCGCACTCATGCGGCGTGGCGTATTGGTGCGAGAGAGACAGAGCGAGAGGAGCTCCGCGAGATTCCAGATCAGCGTATCATCCAGTTTACCCGGCGATCAGTGAAGGCGGCGGCGTGGTCCTGCCAGGTTGACTCCGAACAGTGCTCCTCTCTCTCTCGCACTCGTGGGGCGTCCCCTAGGGCGTGCGAGAGAGACGGGGCGACGAAGGCACGGAGCGGAATGAAGGTGGAAAGGGGGAAGGGGAGGCAATGGGCTCATTGGTGAGCGAGAGGTCTCCCAATCTCAGGCGGCCAGGAGCGATTCAGCGCACAAATTGACTGTCAAACTCAGACGACATTTCGCGTGCTAATCCCAATCCGGGGCTGAGACTGCCTCGCTGTAAATGAGGTCGGATAGGCGGCAAGTGGCCCCACCGGAGCCCCGCCGCCCCCGCCAGCCCCGCTACAGTGGGCCAGAAGACCGGTAGAGGCGGCCAAAACTCTGGACGCGTTTTGAGCTCCAGAGTCGCAAAATGGGACTCGAACCGGACGTGTGACCCCATCAATGGTTTGCTCTCCGAACGAGGAATCCATGGTGGGGTCACACGTTCGGTTTCAGTCCCATTTAGCGACTGTGCAGCTATGAACGCGTCTTGAATTTTGGCCACCTGCACCGGTCTTCTGGCCCACTGTGCAACCCCACCAGGGCGCCCAGGGCCCACCCCGCCTAGCACACGCCAATTCAAGCGGCTTAAAGACATCCCCTCGCAAGGTAGGCATTGGGACCCGCTGCGTCAATTTACTCACTTTACTGCAATGCCAATGTCGACCTCATTACAACCAAGAAAACCCCTCACTTTCTGTTCAATAGTTGTTGCTTTGAGTTCAAGTTTTAATAACTGTCGGCGAAAGTGCCTTTGACGGTGTACTCACTCCCGGTGAATGGGAAGCGTGACGCGATCAAAGGGTGCAACACCCACACTACTGGGAGTCACATCAGAACAATAACATTTGAAGCAACGCACCCCTGCCGCCGCTCCGCCCCGCTCCGCCCGCTCCCGGGGGCGGGCTTCGGGCTTGGCTTGCCGTCGGCGAAATGGCCCTACATGCGTACTCTGACGTAAGATGACAGGCAGGGGGAGGGGGAGCGCCGTCGAGCGCCGAATCATCATCGAGTCAAGGTAGCAGTCACTGTGCTGTTAAATGCCCCAATGTCGAACGGGTGGGGGGAGACGTCAAGTAACATCGTTGTTTTTAGACTATTGTATTTGAAAATATTTTGCTTAAGAAAACATTAGAACAGTAAAGCAAAACAAAAAGGACTTACAGAAGAAAGGTTGGTGACCAATTTTCCTCTTTGGTTAAATTTTTTTTTCAGTTGTGTTTCTAAACAGCAAAAATCTACGGATGTCTGTTTTGCAGTCCTTATGCACTGCCTTGCACAACGCAACAACAGCGCGGGTGACAAAAACAACAAGAGGCTTTAGTTATAGGACGCAGCGGGCCCATAATGTTGCGCGGGCATGGCGCGGGCATCGCCATGGCACGGCCGCTACTCGCTTTGTGAAACTGTTGTTTACTGCAAATGAATATATCCCCAGCAGACGACCATAGTCTGTTCACCTGATTGAGGCTGTGAGCCGAGTAGAACGGGAAAGGGGAAGGGGGTGCACGCGACTAGGGTGGTGAAAGGGGAGGGGTGGGGTGCTGTAAGGGGTAGAGCTGCATGTAGATGAGGGTGGAGGTTAGATATCTTTGGCTGCGACCTGGTAGAACTATTTGGCTTTTACTTTCCCCTTTCAAGTCGAGACGTGAGAAATTTTGAATTTTGGGACGGACTTTACTCGAATTAGCAGATTTTTGTACAGGTTCGATTCGATTCGACCACACAAATTGTTTGATTCGCCTATCTCCACTGTCTTTTCTTTCTTTTTCTTGGAAGAAACAGCATTTTTGGAGTTGGATTTTAATTTCCGCCGCTGGAGGCAAGCGACCGTAGCAAAACGCTGCATCATCGGGGCGAAGTACGCGGTCCAGAAAAAGAGTCGTCGACCGTTCTGCGCGGCGCCGCGTCCATATTGGATTTTCCATTTCAATCCACGTCGCGAGTGAGGCAAAGAAAGACAGCAGGGAATCAATATCGTTGGCCGAGGGCGAGCTTCGTGACTTGGGGCCGGCCAGGTAAAAAGCGTCCGATTGTTTTCGCAGGTGGGAAGCAGAGCATCCTCGCCTCACTGACGCGCTGACGCGTCACGGACCAAAAGGTGCCTGTCACGTGACGCGCCGTGGAAAGCCTCGTTACCGAATCAATCATATCGCCTGTGTCTCCGACTGTCCTCTTTTTAAAAAACGCCTTTGTCGCTTGTTGGGTCCCTGGGCAACTGGTAGGAGAGAGAGAAAAAAAATACCCAGCTTTCTATTTAACCGAGTCTGCTTTTTCCCCTAAACGCTCCGCGCTTCTTCCGACTCGACATGATTCAATTTGCTCGGTGATGAATCACTGCTGTGGTTTCTCTGCACGGGGCGAGGAAGACGCGGTTATTTCATGCATTTGTAACAGGATTTGGATTCGCCCCTGAATTGGCTATGAAACCCTTGCCCTGCAGCAGACGACAGGCGGCCTGTCACAGGCCCACCGGGCTGGTGTGTCTCAGCCGAATGTCTGGTGGGCGAAGGCCTCAAACTGCCCTAATGGAATTACGTTGGGCGGCAGTCTGATTCTGTCTCTCTCGCACCCCTGCGTGGCGCCCACGAGTGCGAGTGGGACAGCCAGCCCACTGTCACGCGGGCTCAGTCGCACTGGGGCGTCCACGTCGACTTGCTGTGCCTTTTGTTACTTTCAGGCGACTCCGACCAGGAAATA